TGATGTTAAGCCAAATGCTAAAATTCGTTTGAAATCACTGAATGCCTCATATTTTGGTGTGTTGGGGTGATACTCATCCAACACAAACTTTTTGCTGACCATCATCTCTACATATGTACATAAACTTTCAAAGTGGTGTCTTTCAGACAGCAGGTTGCTAGGTAGTCGCTTTGTAAAAAAGTTGTTATGGCAAATACACTACTCAAAAGGTTGCTGAAAACTGTTTGACAGCTCATAACCGATTTTTCCTTTCTTACGGCTCATCAGGTACGCGCATACCCCTGCGTTCTACTTGAGCCCAAATTTCAGAAAATTTTCAAAATACACTCAATTGAGAACAAGTTTGGCTTTGTGGGACACTCAACTGGAAAACATTACAGACGAGATATCCAGTTGGGCTCCAAGTGAGTCTCTCGCGAAACCAAATTAGTTTGCAAATTAGTGTACTTCTGTATTATGAATACTTTTGTCAAATCCACTTCACTACGTTATATTGAAAACGGCTATTCTGATTCTTCTGAGCATACCGAGGGTTCTGTAAACAAAGCGATGGTTTCGACTGCAAGCATCGTATTTCAGTATTTGTTATTTCGAATGAGAAAAAACGTTTCTTCTTTCAGAAGACTGATGAAAGCAACGATCGAAAGAACCACCATGTGATTCGCGTCGAATGAATGTGCCATTTTGCTACTCATGAGTAGTTAACATTTGTGAACAGAACTGTGCTGGCAAACGATGCCACACGTAAAAGTAAGACCCACGAATACATTCGAGAACTGTTTACACTTCGTGTGAAAGATAATGTGAATAAATTAGTTGGGGTTACTTAAAGGAGCGTAGCGTTGAATTTCTCGCGTGATCTCTGAGATCTAGACTGTCGACATTAGGTTTTGATTGTGGGCAACTGGTTGGTTCAAAATGGCGATTCTCTCCCCTTTAGAACTTAAATTCCACATGTTGTTTCATCTCACAATTTTATTCAGTAAAACACGTGCAGTACTTCAAAAACATGCAAAGTACATAGCATCTATCCGCTTACCTCTGTTTTGCTATCATCACTATGGATTTCGAGATCTAGCCAGTCAAACTCTGGTGGGTCTTCGGTAAATGGAACCTGACGATAAACAAGAACAAAACTAAAAATATAATAAATTTCCTGTTGTTTGTCAGACGGCAGACTCTATCCCACCATTTTTTGAGCATAGGGCTCTCACAGAATGCGCACAGATCTCTAAACGGTGGTCAGTGAGATCTTAGTATCTGGTGTTTGTCGCTTCATTAGGTCTTAAGATCTACCAAGCCATGTTTGCCCAAGTGTAAGCTACTCTAACATAACCTAAGGTGGTTGAGTCTGTGAGCCTTCCCCGCAGTGGAATTTGTTTCGAATTAGTTCAGTCTTTTTAGCCTCCCAATTTTTTAGCCTCCAAGCAGTTTCCTGAGTAAGCACCATTACATATATGGTGTATAATGTAACGGCCATTTCACTCTTCTTGACTGTAGTTGATCACAGTACTCTTTGCCACACCCTTTCAGCTCTACTCAACGATGACTTTAACGAAATTTCATCTACCCCATGACCCACGCTATACTTGCAATCAGTGTCCTTGTCTACTTTGACACAAATTCGATATATGATTACTGTCCACTGAACACCTAATTCCGGAAGGTTTGCACAAATCTCTTTACTCCAGTCTGAAAGCCTGGAAATCAGTCAACAAATACGCTCACTCCGAATTCTTCATAATGAATCAGCAACATCTGATTCTCGCGCCATTTTTTTCAAAACCAAACATCTGGGCTGTCCACAATAACTCTGCAAACGCGTTCAGCAGATATGTCAGAATTCGCCGTCTAAATTTTGTGACATAGAAGACATTCAAGAATTACGCTCTGTTGTGATCTTAAAGGAGAGAGAGGCCATCGACAGATTCTATAGTGACGAAAAAAACGTTGAACAGTTCCAACAGAATGAATAAACTTTCGTCAGTAAATGTCAAGAATATAAAGAGGAGATGATAAGTTAAACGTTATTTCACTTTGTCGTTGCTCTAGGACATACATAAAAACGGTATGATGCAAATACAATGGTGTATTACTACAGAAGACCAGAATGTCACCCGTTATAAGAAATGATTGGAAAAACTGAAAATCGAACAACCTCAACAACATCATCATCTTCTAGGCCACGTCAAGAAAGAGCATCGAAACATCTGAGTGAGTCTCGGGTAAATTCCTGAAAATTTGAAACCGCCCAAGGACTTCTCCTCGATGATGTACTACAGCATAGGTTTAAACAAAATAATATAGAGCTGTGCACGCATTAGGGGGACCCTACAATTTGCCTCTGAATATTAATTCTTGAGTTAAACAGTCCTCTTTTAGAGAGGTCATATTTGACTAGTATAGTTAAGCCGGGCCTGTCTATATTTCATTAAACTGATGAGAGTTAAAAATCCCCCTTTAAGATGCACAAAAGCGAATGATATAAAATACTACTGCAATGCGTCCAGTACTGGTGAGGCATGTGGGTAGCCTGTGGTTTTCTCGAAGCTCCGCTTCACGTCTAATGAAAAGTGAACCTTATTATGGGGCTTGTGAAGCTGCTTTACAGTGCTTTACAGTTTGTGATTGCGTGATTGTCGTGATTGTCCTTACACTAATAGCAAAATCGAAGGTGGATTATGGGAGATGAAAAACACCTTAGTCGTATCAGACCGCACGCTGGATGGCTAAGATGATCTGCGGAACTGGACGACTTTCCGCTACGGAACAGTAGAAAAACGAGGAGACATTTACTTTGTACTTATCTAGGGTCTTCTGTAAATGAGACATATTATGAGACTTCCTTGGAGGAAACAGAGCAACAGTACTTATAAGATAAGAACTTACTCTTGAAGCTTTTTCCGTAGGTATAAAGACAGTTGGTGACTAGCTAAACCATCCAACGAAGAAACAATCATTCTGCATCAGGGGCAACATCTCACCAGTGTTGTGCGCCTGTCCCCGTGGTGAAGCAAAGTCGCCTTTTTTAGGGACTTTGTCAACTACCTATGAATCGATAACATATTTGAGCTTTTGTTCCCATCTTCATGTGAGATCTGTGTCACCACAAACCCCGGTAGTTAGCGGTGTTCTCCGTGCGATCAGTTGAAGAGTTTAATTTGGCGAATAATCTGGGGTGTCGTAACCCTCTGGATACCACGTCTGGTTAATTCCATAGGACAAAACAAAGACGTAATCGCTTGCCATTGTGAGAGAATATTGGAAATTTCCCACTCAATTCACAGGCAGTTGATATTGTCCGGGTAAGATATATATATATATATATATATATATATGCATTCTTCATAATTTTCCCGCCAAAATGCAAGCTCACTATTTGAGCTGATTGTGACAATATTGCATGTTCCAAATACTGACAGGTAGGTTTGCATAACGATAAGCAATCATCTACAGAAGTTAGAATTCTCCCCCTGGCAAAATAAACAATGAACTGTATTTAACAACACACCTTGGGCCGCAGGGTGGGGTGAAAAAGAACGTCTCCATTTGAATTCAGTGCGAAGATGTAACCGAGTGGTCCCAGCTGTTGACAAATAGAAAAGAGTGAAGATAGAAACAGTTAAAATTACCCGAATAAAATGTCCGGAAATAAAATCCCCAAAGGACAACCGCCTGTCTGTTCTTGTGAAAACAATCCGTTATTATCAAACTGGTGGTTTTATTCCTGACAATGCACCATAACTAGTTGTCTAATTAATAGATTCAGCCTTCCATACATCTGTTTGTGTGAGAAACTGCACCGGATCGGGTATTTTCGGGACTTATTAAGACATTAAGACATTTAGGATTGATCAGATGAATTATGAAAAGACCGCGATCTTTTTTCATTAGGAACCATGCAAAACAGTGACAACACCGTAGTTGGTCCCAGTAATTATCACGTAGCGTCATTCGGATGAAAATAATGAGATAATGACAAAACGGCTGGCTATTATTTTTGTGGTTGACAGACAGGGAGATCAGCAATCTTTACTGCGACATTGAAGAACTACCACACGTCCTCTAAATGGACCGTTAGGAATTACTATGCTACGCATTCGAACACAAACAAATGCTTTACGATTATCGAAATTCCCTGTGTATGTTGAATATTCCCATATACCCGGAAACAAACTAAGGCACCCGACCAACTCATACAGGTGAGGAAAGCAGGTAAACAGAATGTGCTGCGAAATGCGGTCTTGATCATGTTTTATCTGAAACCAAGAATGGGTGAAGTTGACTTACAAGTGGTGTAGTTGCCTGTATGGACGAATGAAAAGCTAAGGGTTTAGAAAAACCTTTCAGTGGCTTGGTTAAAACAATTGTCTTGTGGATCCGTAGGTTACTTTGCGACCGAAGAATTAATAACCCAAATACATGCATGGCTCTTATTCGTTCCTTTCTAGCTCAGAGGACACTGTTGTTAACCCAGTTTTTTTGGAGGACAAGCACTGGAAGAATTCGGAAGTTGAACGCACGTTGAATCTTTCAGGCAAAACCGTCTCCACAAAAATTGTGATGTTCTTATGGTTGGTTCAGGAACTTTGGCATTCTTGGGGAAACCAATGAATAACGTATACGTGACATCATTTCTCCAGTCCTACTGAGCGTTAGGTACAAACCTGTTTATTCTGAGAAGTAGCAAGGTGGCCCGTTGGATACTGTTCTTTTACAGTATTTTTACGCCTCATTAGAACTATCAACATCCTGTCAAGAGAAGACTATGAAGCGAGGAAGACGTTCTACCAATAGCGAGGTAACTAAAAGGGTCAACATGTTCAAAAAACAGTGTTTGCTTCAAAAGGGTCATCAAAATGTACACGAAAAGAATCTCTTCACGTACCTTGTACTGCGGAAATGCGGCAAACAGCACTTCTATCGGTAAATCCGTCCCCATCATTCCAAGGAACCGGGGATCACCCTGAAATTCGAGCAAAAACAGGGTAGGTACCAACCGTTAGCAAGACACTCCTTCGTTGTGAGCATTTGCGTAATGTACTTTTTAATAGCATGGTGAGATTTGAGAACTTTTCTATCATGATTCAATTCTGTGAAGTAAGTCAACCTGTGCCAAACTGTCCGGAAGCACCAAATGGCTGTTATATCCACACTCTATGAATCCTGGTTAGGTGTATAATCCGTCTAAATCCAGCTGATAGCCGAACTCCACTTGGCGATTAGTAGTCAACCAGTACTGATTACCTTATGGTAAGCCTCTCGGAAAGTGAAATATCTCACATCAAATGAGGACCATTTATCTGGATTGTAACCTGGACAGCTAGTCAGCAATTTTCCAAGTGATGTGAATTTGTCGATCTAACGGTGCGTGGCCCAATATGTTGCCCAAGGTGCACTTAATTACATTTCTGACTAACTGCTCGTGTCGGGAAGATTTAGTTCTTAACTGCTAATCGAGTATTATTCTCCGGATTGTTCGCGAATCTGCACATATAGTATTTCAATGGGTAGGTTCGAGCGTTTTCTTTGAAATTCATACCCAGTATTGTCTCTTAATGGCACTGCATATCCAGTATGTTGGAATGCATAATTGTAATATAATGTGATCCAGTTTCTATGTAAGATGACAGCAATGATCTAATTGAGTTCTTTGGGATAGTTTGCACATCCTTTCCCAACAGATCTATGCATAATTTTGTGTTTGCAAGCTCCTTTCGATTCCGAAGGCCCTGTTGTGTTTGAATACTTCAGAAGTAACTCCCAAATGTTAATTCGGTGAAGTTTTGGCTGATTTGCTTGAATAGGATGAAGAGACCACATGTGAGCGTAAATTACTTACCTCTTTACAAGTAGGAAGGGATTAACCAACATTTCCGTTTGTATGAGTCAATGGTTGTATTGTGCTTAATCTGGTGTGACAAGTAGCACTAGTTTGATCACTCAATTTCAGAAGAGCGGAGCTTCCAGTTTCACTCCATTAGTCCATACATAGTCCATAACATATCAGAAAGATGCCGTGCTTGGTTGGAACTTCGAAGGCATGGAGAAGAACGGCCGGGAGTTTGCTTCTGCATAAAATGGCCCGCCAATAATGGATATCAGGTTTATCCCCTATTTTTTACCAGCATGTTTTATCTGGTTTTGTGCCCCACTTATTGTTAGAACGTGGTAAAGAGGGAAATTGAGCTGTCCACCAATTGGATTATAAGGAGAACAGTGATTCGGAGAAGTCTCGGGAATTTTTCTCAGCCCAGGACGGATTTGCTACAACAATTGCTAGACATGCGACACACAAGACACACCCATTTCCCGGGCAGCAGATCTTGGTATCCGTGGACTGGAAAATTCAACAAATGGCGACATAAATCACAGAAACTTCCACTGAGAGTTACTTTAATTCAGTCATGCACAATGATATTTGCGAACCGCACTGCCTTTTTGAAGTCAGACTACTTCAAAATTGGCTTGAGTGAAGTGAACGTGCTGCAAAACATCAAACTCAATGTAGATCATTGTGGTGAAATTTCAAGCCTTGTGACCCTTGTGAAGCGTGCGTCGGCTGGTCCCAAAAGATCTCGTTTTGATTGTGCGAACAGCTCCTAGTAGCAACAGCTTAAATTGCTAGCCATAGTTTACCCATACTTGAATCAACACTAGTGTCTTCTCAAGACTAGTCTTGATTACCAACCAAGTGCGGGACAACAACGCTCTCCCTGCAGCAAACGTTTTGGACCACATTTTTCAGTGATTATCGTAGGAGTGCTTAGGTATTTCGCTATAATTTGCGCTTTAATAATCACCTGTCAAAGCATTCATTAACAATGAAATATGCTAGAACGCTTTATAACTTACCGAGCGATTGTACACTGGCATTGATATACTGATCATCAGGCCATTCCCCTACAAATGAGGTAGAAGATTTGGCAAACTTTAAAGAGTTGTCTTAGTGGAGTTCAAGTAGAAACCGAAACTTATCATAATATATTCGATCTAATCCAGGCAGACCGGACGACTGTTGTGGGGACCAGTGCGTAGGATTATCATATCAACAGTTGTGCAACCAAGGTCAAGGGATTCAAAGTTTGTCATTTTACGGAAAGCTACTTTCTCGAATTCCCGTTGCTTGTAAATGTGCCTATTACTCATAAAGATGACGCAAACATTGAAACACATCCAAAGTCAACGATAAATTACAAATTCTTTGCTACAAGTGTTTACACGCTTGAAACTTATACACTTACACTTGCTCATTTGATAGATGGTAGCTCCCTGGCCCGAGTCTACCGTTTGGGGTGTCATCATTCTAGGTTATACGCATCTCAAGCTCTGCCAAGTTCCCTCTAAATCGCCAGTTTTTAAGCGCAGTCTTCGCTGCGACATCAGTTTTTGAAAATCTTCCTAGTTAGTCATACAGTAACTAGATTTCTTATTTGTAATAAGAGCTACTTTGAACGAAAATGAATACAAACTGATCTGGCGCTTGACACGGCTAGCATAAATTATTTGCTGCTTAACTGAAAAATAAGCAGCTAATCAAACGGAACAGAGGCTAGACTACCAAGTGGATACCTCATTCATACCTTCCACATGCTATATATATATATGTGTGTGTGTATAAATCAGGATCTATTGCTTCTTGTATATTGCATGTCACTGTTCACTCATTGAAAGGTAGAAATCCACTCTCGCTAGCTAACCTGATACTCCTCGTTGCGGAAAACTTCACTGGCACCGTGCAGGATGACAGATGTTTGAATCGGACCCCCATCTGGACCATGGGCAACCCTTGTCGAACGGTCCTGGTAATCCTGTGTGAAAGAGAAAGAGACAGCACTTTTTGATGTTCCAAACTAGTCTAATTAAATAGACCTAGGCAGCTTTGTTTTCAGAACTGTGTTCCATTGGTATCATCTATCAATTGTTTGGCAGGGAAGCCAATCCTGTAGAAATAAGGCAAAATAGCCTTTGCAAAAATACATATAAGCAAATTCAAAACCTTCTTGAAGCAGCCTTTAGTAGGTTCTGTTTGGTGGTGAAATCGGCTTCTTGACATTTATCGAAATTCAGTCTGACAGTGAAAAATACAGCAGTGTTCTTTATCAGGTAATCTACCGATACATGTAACACACTGCCCAGGAAGCTCGCATCTAACCCCGATGTTTAGAAAACCACTAAAATGAACTTTCTGGAGATCCGGAATATTCTAAAGCCTAACCAAACCGCATGGGTTCAGTATTACTGCAATTCTATTGCTTGTACGTATATTGGTTACGGTCATACAACTAGAAATGGAAGTGAACAAAGGAGCTATCTTGGTGGTAATATTAGCCATCTGCATCAAAAAGGATAAGGCAGGGTACAGTCTTATTTTCATCGGTATCGTGAGGTTACTTCTGGCTTTAACTGTCTATATGGGGCGCTGATGACGAACTTACTTTCATCATGTTTGAAACAGCACCTTTACTAGGCAAGTCTTGGTAACATCCTGAAAGAAGAAAACAATTTTCACTAAGTAAAACGTTTTTTGACTGCAAAAAGACCAACAAATTTGACTTAACCATCTCGTGAGCTAAATAACACGTTAGATAAGGGGTAGAGCATTAACAATCCTATGTGCTTGTTGATGTTATGGGACAGGCTTTTCAGCCACTTCCGAATTGGCGAGAACCAATCACGCCACAGCTACCTTTCCTTCTTGTGCGAATGAGAAGACGCCAAACGATGCTGACAATCATAACAGTTCCGGCTGAAAGATCGTCACTACAGACCTAGGTTACGTGGTGGTAACTGAAACGTGACTTTGAATATGGCACCCGTTTAAGGGTATCTGGTTCTGGTGCACACAAGGAAAATGATTCCCTTTTAGGTGAATTGCAAAACTACTGTTATACAGACAGATTTGTCTAACACGTTCCCATTTTGATGGTTGGAATGATAAGTAAGGCGAGTAGTTATGATGGAATTAGCCAATATCAATCCAAGAACTAATGCTAATCAGTTACGGTGTAGGGCCTACGGAACGACGAAGAATTCCCTGTCGATGAATCACCTCAGTGGTGCCCAAATTCGAAGCTTTGCTGCATTTACCTAGATCTTCAAAGGAATCAGGACCAGAATGGGCGTAGTCAAAATAGAGAAACAAATATTACGGTTATAGTGAACACATGTGGAGAGAAGAGAAAAACGAAACAAACTGGCGACAGAATAGCCTGACATAACCAGATGAATAGAAATTTAGGCCCTCGATCAAAAAGGTTAACCTAGCTGGCGTTTTCAATAAAAGCCGAAAAACTTTGAACTGCATTTTTTCGTCTCCGACGTTTTGCTTTCATGGGTGTAATCAGTGATAAAATTCGGCCTCGGAGGCACTTCGAGGCACTTCATCAAATAGAACGGCCTGAAATCTTTGAGATATTCCATTTGACTGCTACTTTAAACAAGTTTTCCAAGCCTCAAGTTTCTAATCGTCTGTCGGTGATGAGGCTGTCATATCCGTGAATTGACCAGTGCACCACAAATGCAGGCAAAAACAATTGGCAACGGTGGATCTATTCTTCTGCAACCCAATACAGTCCCTTTTCTCTAGGCGCTATTTAGCAACTAAAACCATTTTGTTTACTGCGTACTCAACCCTTCCTCTTAGTAACTAAAATGTTACAAACTTTCTTTAATCTACTGGATGGGAAAAATTATTGTTCGCCTGACAATAAACCTATCTTTGAGACCATGGCGTTTAGAAAGGAAGTAGGTCGTTTAAGCATTTTCTTCGGGTTAGCCTCACACACTGTAACTTCACATTTGGAAGAAACAGTTGCAGTCGGCGACTGCCCCGTCAAAAAGACAGCGCCCCCAGATTTTTTCATAGTGGAACAGGATAATGTTTCGAACGTGTACATTACCAGACTAAAGTGACCTTTTTAGGGTTCTCTATCTCGTCAAAAATTGGTTCATCCCGAACAAACGTTTGAAACGCGCAGAATTAGTTATTTGATTTGGGTCTTTTTGACCGGGTGTTGAGTTAAGCAACGTAGCTACTGTCACATCGTCATCTACATTAGCCGTTTACCCTGACGGAGTTGGCAAAGCAGACTGTGTAGCTGCTTTGGCTTCACTCAGATGCCGACAACTGATGAATATTTCGCGTCACTTTGATTAAAAGCTTGTAAGTTGGTCCATTTTGATTTGCCTCATACTATGTTGCAACAATCAGTAGTCAAAATATGGAAGTCGAAGAAGTTGGTTTGTAAGCCAGGTGAGAAGACATAGGGTTTCCGCAATTCTGTATTAAACTGGCAACAGATCAGGTGGCTACGAATTCGCTTAATATTCCCTGTAGTCTGGATAAAAGCATTGTATTGACTTTTCGATTACACGTTTTACTACATAAGTTGGAATAATATATATATATAGTTGATGGTTCGCTCTCAAATTTTGGTACTCTCAAAATCTTGTGGAACTTGAAGTAACGTAAATCCACAGTTTTATTTTTCGAAGCATCGCTTGGAAGAAATACACCGGATCTAAGTCAGTTACGTCTTTTTTCTTACAAATGTAACTTAATTTCTCACTTACCCCCGTTCTTAGCCGCCTGCCGCTGATACAGTGGCACATCGCTCACAGGCTCACCTAGGGCATAGACCAGTAGCTGAATCTAATTGAAAAGTGAGACAATAAAGGAAATAGGGTAAAGTCCAACCAGAAGTGATCTACATCGAGTTGCGGAAAAATCACAACGTTTTAATGACACGAATACCAAGAACTACTTTATAAGGCCAACGAATGCAACGACACATCTCTTGAAATTCTATTGGGTTTTTGCACGCTTGTTAGTAACGGTCTATTTTTTGTAATCCCTATTCTTGTTTTGTACCGTTTTGTTATTGTTTTCAGTCTTCCAGGAACTCAGTCAGT